GTTTCGGCACGGCACACCCCTCCGCATCCCCCCCCCGCCGCCAGCCAGTCGCGCCCCTCCGCCTTCCCGACCCCTTTATTCCGGCACGGCGCAACCCTCCGCCCCGGACCCTCTATTTCCGGCACGGCGACAATCGACCCCATTTAGCTCGGCACGGCGCCCCCCCTCACCCCCCGCCCCCCCCCGCCCAGCAGCCAGCGCGCCTCTCCGCCCCGAGCCCTTTATTTCGGCAGGGCACACCTCTCCGCCCCGACTCCTTTATTTCGGCGCGGCACGCCGGCTCCCCAACCCCCTACACACTAGCCAGCGCGCCCCTCCGCCCCGACCCCTTTATTCCGGCACGGCACACCCCTCCGCCCCGACCCCTTTATTTCGGCACGGCACGCCCCCTCCGCACCCCCCCCACCCGCCAGCCAGCGCGCCCCAATGCCCCGACCCCTCTATTTCGGTACGGCACACCCGTCCGCCCCGACCCATTAGTTCGGCACGGCACACCGCCTCCACACCCCCACCCACCAGACAGCGCGCCCCTCCGCCCCGACCCTTTTTTATTTCGGCACGGCACACCCCCTCCGCATCCCCCCCACCCACCAGCCAGCGCGCCCCTCCGCCCCGACCCATTTATTTCGGCACGGAACCACACCCCGCGCGCCCCTCCGCCCCGACCCCCTTTATCTCGCAGGGCACACCCCTCGCCCGAACCCCTCAGTTCGTCACGGCACAACCCCCTCCGCAATTCCCCCCCCGGCCGCCAAGCACCGCTGCGCCCCAATGCCCCGACCTTTTTTTAATGTCGGCACCGGCCACACCCCCTCCGCCCCGACCCTTTTTTATTTCGCGACGGCGCCACCCCCTCCGCATCCCCCCACCACAAGCAGCGCGGCCCCCCCGCGCCGACTCCTTTATTTCGGGACGGCCCCCCCCCCCCCCCCCCCCTCCCGCATCCCCCCACTCACCAGCCAGCGCACCGCCTCCGCCCCGACCCTTATATTTCGGCAGCCCCCCACCCCCCGCGCGCCCCTTTTGCGCCGATACCGTTTATTTCGGCACGGTACACCCCTCCGCCCCGACGCCTTCATTTCGGCACGGCACGCCCCCTCCGCACCCCCCCACCCAGCTGCCAGCGCGCCCTCCGCCCCGACCCTTTTGTTTCGGCACGACACACCCCTCCGCCCCGACGCCGCCCCGCGTCCCCAGTGCCCCAGCGGGGGCCCCGATCATTGCACCCCTCCGCCACGAACGTTTTATTCCGCGTCGCACACCACCCCCGCGTCCCCAGCGCCAGAGTGGGACCCCCGCGCCGTGGCTCTCTGCCCCGAGCCCCCCCGCGTCCCCAGCGCCACACGGGGGCCCCGCACACTGCCCCCTCCGCCACGAACGCTTTATTCCGCGTCGCGACGCACACCACCTCCCCCACCCCCCTCCCCGCGTCCCCAGCGCCCGGGCCCCGCTCACTGCACCCCTCCGCCACGAACGCTTTATTCCGCGTCGCGACGCACCCCCCCCCCCCCGGTCCCCAGCGCCCAGTTGGAACCCCGCCCCGTGGCTTTCTGCCCAAGCCCCGCCCAGTGCCCCTCCGCCCCGACCAGTGTATTCCGCGTCGCGACGCACACCACTTCCCCCCCTCCTCTCCGCGCCCCCAGCGCTCCAGTGGGACCTCCCCCCCGTGCCCCCTCCGCTCCGAGCACTTTATTCCGCGTCGCGACGCACGCCACCTCCCCCCCTCCCCACCTGGGATTTGGGCCCCGTTGCTGGGCCCCGAAGGGCGATGTCTTGCCCCCTGTTCCCGCCTTCTCCACCTCCACCTCCTCCTCCTCCTCCTCTTCCTCCTCCTCCTCCTCCTCCCTTTCCTTTTTCTGTGCAAGAGCCATGGCACGCGTGCCACTTGTTTTATTGTTATGGTACGCATGGTTGCGGTGGAAAACGCAGGACCAACATGTCACGTTTGAGCTATTTTTATTGTTTGGCTGAAGCTTCATTCGCAGTCATGGGGAAAAGGCTCCTGCCATATTTTCAGGACGGGATTCACGAGATGGAACATGAACATTATGTGAATGCGGAGGAGCATGAGCATGATGAAGACGAGGAACGACATGGCCAGGAGAGAGGAGCCAGAGCAGGAGGAGGCGGAGGAGGAGGCGGAGGAGGAGGAGAGGAGAATGAACCAGTCCTAACCAGGCCCACCTCGAGCCCAGCACGGGTACCGGGGCATAGCTGGGATCGTCCCACAGCAGGACGGGGAATTTGCACAGGCCTCGTGGCACCTTCCCGAATATCCGAAATGTTTGAAAAGGCGCCAGACGCCCCCTCCTCCGATCTTCGGGGGTTCTCAGGTGTCCCCGGCTGCATTCGGGGACCTCCGAAAAGTTCCAGAGGTCTTTCCGATACCGATAACGATGAAGAACACGACGACCACAACGACGAAAAAAAATGATGAGGAGGAGGAGGAACAACGAGGAGGAACAGGAGGAAAAGGAGGAAGAGACGACCACGACGACCATGACGACGGATAACGACGACGACACGACGACCACGACGACCGATAACGACGACGACGGTGTCGATTACGCCACGGCGACGACGATGACAGCCACAGCGACGTGCGCGCGCGGCCTGCCAAGGCGCCAGCGCCTTCTTCGTCCAGCACCACCGTCAACAAGAGCTTGGGGCTTCGCAAACTGCGCGCTCGGCTGCCGTCGCCGCCACTGATTCCTGGCCCAAATGACGACGGCGGCGGCGGTGACGGCGGCGGCGGGGGGAGGAGGAGGAAAAAGAGGAGGAGGAGGAGGAGGAGGCGGAGGAGGAGGAGGAGGACGAGGAGGACGAGGAGGACGAGGAGGAGGACGACGACGACGAGCAGAAAGAAGACGAGGAGGAGGAGGAAGAGGAGGAGGAGGAGGACGAGGAGGACGAGGACGAGGACGAGGACGAGGAGGAGGAGAAAGAGGAGGAGAAGGAGGGGGAGGAGGAGGAGGAGGAGGAGGAGGAGGAGGAGGAGGAGGAGGAGGAGGAGGAGGAGGAGGAGGGGGGGAAGAGGAGGAGGAAGAGGATGCGGAGCAGGAGGACGAGGAGGACGAGAGGGACGAGGAGGACGAGAGGGAAGAGGGGGAATGATATGAAGAATACGAAGAATACGAATCATACTATGAAACAAATGTCATACCAATAAGACTTAGAATAAGAATAAGCCTACTACTCATAGCAATACTAATCATAATAATACGAATAGTAATGCGATCAACAATAACAGTGGCAGTCATACGAACTTGACTTATACGGAGAACAATAATCATACTCAGGATACTAGTAATTCGAATACTGGTAATACTACTACGACGAAGACGAATACGACTAATCACCATAAGCATACTAACACGATCAATTAAGCATACTAATGGATACGGGAGATCATACGGATAAAACTGACTAGAAACGGTTACTGAGACACATAAGAGGACGAGGAGGAGAAGGAGGGTACGTAAGAAGGAATGGGGAGGGGCAGGAGGAGGTTGAAGAGGAGGAGGAGAAGCAGGAGGAGGAGGAGGGGGAGGGAAGGAAGGGAGCGGACGAGGCGGAGGACGAGGAGAAGGAGGAATAAGGGAAGGAGGAGGAGGAGGAGGAGGAGGAGGAGGAGGAGGAGGGGGAGGGGGAGGAGGAGGAGGAATATAGGGAGAACGACAGGGATGAGGAGGAGGAGGAGGAGGAGGAAGCGGTGGAGGAGGACGAGGGAGGAGGAGCAGGAGGAGGAGGAGGAGGGGGACGAGGACGAGGAGGAGGAGGGGGGAGGCAGGATGGAGAGGAGGGATAGGAGGAAGAGGAGGAGGGAGGAGGGCGGAGGGAGAAGGGAGAAGGGAGGAGGGAAGAGGAGGAGGCGGAGGAGGAAGAGGAGGAGGAGGACGAGGACGAGGACGAGGATGAGGACGGAACGGAGGAGGAAGAGGAGGAAGAGATCGACGACGAGGACGAGAACGAGGACGAGGACAAGGACGACGACGAGGAGGACCAGGAGGACCAGGAGGACCAGGAGGACTAGGAGGGCCAGGAGGACCAGGAACACGGGGAGCACGAGGAGCACGAGATGCGCGAGGAGCACGAGGAGAAAGAGGACGGCGAGTTGGACGAGGAGGACCAGGATGATCAGGAGGACCAGGAAGATCAGGAGGAGGAGGAGGACGAGTAGGACGAGGGCGAGGAGAAAAACGAGGAGGACCAGAGGACCAGGAGGGCCAGGAGGACCAGGAGGACCAGGAGGACCAGGAGGACCAGGAGGACCAGGAGGAGGAGGAGGAGGAGGAGGAGGAGGAGGAGGAGAAGGCGGAGGAGGAGGAGAGGAGTAGGAGGGAGAGGAGGGAGGAAGGAAAAGGGGGGGGGGAGGGAGGAGGGGGGGTGAGGGGGGGGGAGGGGGAGGGGGGAGGGGATGCGGGAGGAGGGAGGAGGGAGGAGGCGGAGGGGGAGGGGAGTGGAGGAAGGAGGCGGGAGGAGGGAACAGGGAGGAGGGAGGAGGGAACAGGGAGGAGGGAGGAGTGAGCGGGCGTGGGGGAGTTAGGAGGAGAACAGAAAACAAAGACATGGGGGAACAGAAGAAATACGAGGGCTGAGGAGGAGGGGGAGGCGGGAGGAGGAGGGAGGAGGGAGGGAGGGCGGAGGGAGGAAGAGGGAGGAGGGAAGAGGGTGGGGGGAGGAGGACGAGGAGGACGGAAAGGAGGAGGACGAGGACGAGAGGAGGAGGAGGAGGAGGAGAAGGAGGAGGAGGAGCAGGAGGAGGAGGAAGGAGGAGGAGGAGGAGGAGGAGGGAGGAAGAGGAGGGGGAGTAGGAGGAGAGAGGAGGAGGAGGAGAGGGGAGGAGGAGAAGGAAGAGGAGGAGGAGGAGCAGCAGGAGGAGGCGGAGGAGGGGAAGGGGAGGAGGAGGAGGAGGAGGAGGAGGAGGAGGAGGAGGAGGAGGAGGAGGAGGAGGAGGAGGAGGAGGAGGAGGAGGGGGAGGAGGAGGACGAGGACGAGGACGAGGACGAGGACGAGGACGAGGACGAGGAGGACAGGGGGAGGATAGGAGGAGGAGGAGGAGGAGGAGGAGGAGGACGAGGACGAGGAGGAGGAGGAGGAGGACGACGACGATCAAGGACGGTTTTTGCGAAGTGTGCAATTATCGCCTCGTGGGCTCTTGGGAGGCACGGCGGAGTAGCGGAGTACGCGGATCTGGCCGAGATTTCGGAGTTCTTTGGGTGGTTGCGATTTGCGCATCTGTCGCTTTTTTCGTGGGTTTCTGGGGGCACGGTGGAATAGTGCAGTGCGCGCGCACAGACGAGACCTCGCAGCTCCTTGCGTGGCTGCGAACTGCGCATCTGTCGCCACTTACGTGGGTTCTGTGGAGGCACGGCGGAGCAGCGGAGTACGCCGTGCTGGCCGAGGCTTCGGAGTTCTTTGGGTGGTTGCGAATTGCGCATTTGTCGCCATTTTCGTGGGCTCCTGGGAGGCACGGCGGAGTAGCGGAGTACGCGCGCCCAGGCGGGACCTCGCAGCTCCTTGTGTTGCCGCAGATTGCGCATCTGTCGCCACGTTCGTGGGCTCCCTGGAGGCGCGGCAGAGTAGCGGAGCACGCGCACCCAGATGACACCTCGCAGTTCCCAGGGTGGTTGCGATTTCCACAATCGGCGCCATTTTCGTGGGCTTCTGGGAGGCATTGCTGAGCGGAGTACGCGCGCCCAGGCGGGACCTCGCGGCACCCTGGATGGCATGCCCTTTTCACAGGCTTTTGTGAGGCATGGCGGAGTCGGGGGCCACGCGCACCGAGGCGGGACTTCGGAGCTTCCTGGGTGACTGCGAGTTGCGCAATTGTCGCCGCTTTCGCGGGCTCCTGCGGTGCACGGCTGAGTAGCGGAGTACGCGGATCCAGCCGAGATTTCGAGGCTCCTTGGATGGTTGCGAATTGAATTGTGCAATTGTCGCCATTTTCGTGGGCTCCTGGGAGGCACGGCGGAGTAGCGGAGTCGCGGATCCGGCCGAGACTTCAGTTCCCAGGGTGGTTGCGATCTGCGCAATTGTCGCCATTTTCACGGGTTCCTGGGAGGCGCTGCGGAGTAGCGGGGTACTCGGGTCCAGCCGAGATTCTGCAGTTTCTTCAGGATAGTCCCTTCTGCATACGTCGCCACTTTCGTAGGCTCCTGGGAGGCACGGCGGAGTAGCAGAGTCCGCGGATCCAGCCGAGACTTTGCAGCTCCTTGGAAGGTTGCGAATTGCGCGTCTGTCGTTTTTTTCGTGGGCTCCTGGGGGGCACGGCTGAGTCGGGGTCACGCGCACCCAGACGAGACCTCGCTGCTACCTGGGAGGCTGCGAATTGCGCAATTGTCATCATTCTCGTGGGCAACTGGGAGGTCCAGCGGAGTCGGGGTCCACGCGCACCCAGACGGGACCTCGCTGCTCCCTGGGTTGCTGCGAACTGCGCAGCTGTCACCATTTTCGTGGGCTCTTGGGAGGCATGGCGGAGTCGGGGAATGCGCGCACACAGCCGAGACCTCGCTGCTTCCTGGGCGGCTGCGAACTGCGCAGCAGTCGCCACTTTCGTAGGAGGCACGGCGGAGACCAGGGCAGCGCAGGTCGTGCATATCTGGCGAGGCGGTATTGTAGTGGCCTTCGGCCAGTGCCGCCGATCCGGGGCGCTCCGACTGATGTGATCCTTCTTCGCCCTCGTCCCTCTTCTCTTTTTCCCTCCCCTCCTCTCACTCAGCATTTATCCAGTGGCCGTCGGCCTATCCCGCCACCGTGCGTGGGTGGCGGGTCAGAGGCCTCATGGATGCTGGTTGGGATCTCGTGGTTGGCTGGGACTTCTGGGGGCCTCTTGGGCGCCTCTTGGGGCTTCTTGGGGGCCTCTTGGGCCTCTTGGGGCCACTAGAGGGCCTCTTGGGGGTCTCTTGGGAGCCTCTTGGGGCTTCTTGGGGGCCTCTTCTGCGCCCCTTGGGGCCTCTTGGAGGCCTCCTCGGAGCCTCTTGGTGCGGGAGGGGTGGTACTCGAGTTCGGAACCCCCTCGGAGGCCACGATCCTTGTGAGGGGTGTCAAAAAACGCATCCGCCGGAAACTCGCACCCCCCCCCCCCACCCCCCCTTCCCCGGCAGAGCCACCCCGGCAACCCCCCCAGAGGCTGAGGCTCAGCCTCGAGGCTGTAGCTGAGACTCCTTGAAACTCACACGCCGGATCGGCGGATTTAGTATGGAGCGTTCAAGCAATGTTTCGCCTAGCGTGGAGAATGTGTTGGGTACGCCTCGGGTAATTTGCAGGCTATGTGAGATGTTCGCGGACAATTTTGAGTGTTATGGATGTTTCCAGGGGTTGTCGATGACGAAGGAGGGAGGGAAGAGGAGGGAGGTAGGAGGAGGGAGGGACGGGGGCAGGACGGAGACGGATAGAGAGTGGACGGAGGCGGGAGAAGGATCAGGCCGTCCAGGTAGTTGCAGGAGTCCATCTTGTCATTTGTGTGTTGGATTGGGTACAGCAGGAGTTCGACCACAAGAGGGCTTCCACAAGAAACCCAACCCTGAGACCCCAGGACGTCCATTGATCTTTGGTGTGGGAACGTCACGCTGTCCATAGCAAAACCAGCGAACCCCAAGAAGCCCAGGGCACCCTGGAGGCAAGCAGGGTGCTTCTTGGCATGGGTTTCCACTGTATGTCGCACGGATCCGCGCAGCCCCACGGACACGGCACGCAAGAGTGGCCTTTTGCCAGGGGTGATCTTTGGTGCGGGGCTCGTGGGTGGCGCGGGGGGGGGGGGGGGGGCAGGCCCGAGCACAGCAGCCGCCGTATCGCATGCAACGGCCGGCAAGCCGCCCACCAAGGCGCCGCTCTTGCGCGTGGCCTGTTTTCGAGCCGCAATTTGTTCGGTAGCAGGTCAGGGGAGCCTGGTATACCGTCCGAATTCCGTCTTTGGCATCGATTAGCGTCGATCAGCGTTTGGGAGGCGATGAGGCAGCGCCGAAGTAGCGTCGGCCAGCGTCGATTAGCGTCGATTCAGCGTCGATTAGCCTCGATTCGCAAGAGCCGACAAGATGGTATGGGAGGCCCCCAGTGAGTTGCCCCCGAAGCATTGCCCGTCCCGCCCGGGAGTGCAAGTCATGACCGTTTCACCGATACCCATCCCCATTGGGCCATGGCATCTCAGCCCCACCATCCCACCCCCCCAGTGGGAGATGTCACCGAGCGCGTTCCACTACTCGCAACGTGCCTACTCGCAAACGTGCGAACAAAAACACATGATTGCCTCGGTGTGAGCATCCCCCGAGGCGGCTCCAGGCCATTTGCGAGTAGTCACTTTGCGAGTAGTGGAACGCGCTTGTCTACCACCGAGGGGGTCAAGTCGGCTAGGGGGGCCCAGGCCACGCCAGTGGGGACATGGATCGTTGAAGCGATGCTCATGCGGGGGTGGCGGAGGCCCGCGCTCGGACGTCCGCGCCTGGCCGCTCCGGGAGAGGACCATTGTGAACAAGACGGTGATCGTCCAGCAGTCGGCGCCGGTCATGGGGGCCGCTCCCATCATTGCAGGCCGACGTCGCCGCCTCGCCGCCGCCGCCGCCGCCTTGGTCGTCGTCGTCGTCGCCCCTGGAGGAGGAGGGAGGAGGGCGAGGATGAGGCGGAGGGCGAGGATGATGATGATGATGATGATGATGATGATGATGATGATGATGATGATGATGATGATGATGCTGATGATGCTGATGATGCTGATGATGCTGATGATGATGATGATGCTGATGCTGATGCTGATGCTGATGCTGATGCTGATGATGATGATGATGATGATGATGATGATGATGATGATGATGATGATGATGATGATGATGAAGATGGTGGTGGTGGTAGTAATGGTGATGGTGATGGTGATGATGATGATGCTGATGATGGTGATGATGATGATGATGATGGTGATGGTGGTGGTGGTGGTGATGATGATGATGATGACGACGACGACGACGACCACGACTGGAAGGAGGAGGAGGAGGAGGAAGAAGAGGAGGAGAAGGAGGAGGAGGAGTGGAATGGACTGGAATGGACTGGAATGGATGCTTAGGATCAAGGACCTTGCCGCCGCAGCGGCGAAACACAAGCTAGCGTCCCTCCATTGGCCAACTCTCCTCCATACTGGGACTGTCCCGCTTAGCCCGCCTGCACTCCTTGGCCCATTCAACCGCCGAATGGGCCGAGGCAAACCCGTGCAGGCGGGCAACTCGGACCAGGTCCAGGACGGGGACGTGCACCCCTTACTGGCGGAAGCTGGCGGGGGTCCAAGCCTCAGTCCCGACCATGGCCTCAGAAGGCCCGCCAGCCGGCCCCGCCGAGGACCCAGCACCAGAAGGCGAAGCCCCAACCCCTCCCCAAGACACCGCACCACCGACCCCCACCAGCTTCCCCTGAAGCCATTCGATGTCTACATCCTCGAGGCCTCTACACGCGGACAGCCTGGGTGGAGGATGAGGGGCCGATGCGTGGAGGAACCTGCGGAGCCTAGACCTCTGGGTCTTGAGCCCAGGGTGCTTGGGCCTGTGGCAAGTCCCCGCAAGGCCCCGTCCATGGGGCAGCTCTGAGTCTCACGGAGGCCCCAAAGGACTTGCAGAACAAGCATTGGCCAGCTTCTGGGCCGTTGACATCACACTTGGCCACATAATGCTCTTGAACCAGCCACGGCCGGCCACGAATGTCCCCGAGCTGAACCCCCCCCACCCCATCGGTCATGGGCTTGGGCCCGGGCGCACGTGGGAATGGGACGGGGGCAGCCAGTTTCAGCCCTGCACCTCGAGAGCATGACAGACACGCTCGAGGGCCTCACCGCCTGGCCCGTCAAATTTGCATTGAATGTCAAGGACGACCTCTGACGTTCCAACAACTCCCTCGGTGTCACAGGCTCCGTTTTCAGCAATCCACGCATGCACCTGCCCTGTCCAGCGCACACGCTTACAGGAAATATCTTAATACCTTAACGCGCTTCAGTGAAACGAGTATGCTCGGGCGGCGTCCGCCACAGCGTCGCTCCTTGTTCGGCCCATCGATCCGCATGACTGTTGCCACATCTGCACTAGGTGCCGAAAAACGATTGGTCACTCGCAGCAGACGTGTGCGCTCTGGCAGAATTCACAGTCGCGCTCTCACCGTGCTTCCGCCACCACCGTTCCCAACAATGCCGGTTGGGGCTTATTGTGAGCGCATGCAACTGCACTTGCGCAGTCGCAAATCACAGTAATCGCACCGTCGGCATTTGGCTCCACCGAGAACTTGGCCAGCATGTGGAAAGCATCGTCCTCCGCATCTCTCAATGACTGAAGACAGAGACCAGGCAAGCGGTACAGCTCCATACACGCCGCATCGAAACGAGCCATCGTCATTGCAACTAACTAGTGACCACCCTGCACAGCGCAAGCGGGCATGCTGGGTAAAGTAGGCTGAGCCATCTACGAAGACCTCACTTTCAAAAAGCCGGCCAGGCACGCACCCCACGAAGCGGATTTGGTCGGCCTCGGGAATCTCAGTGCTCTGGAATGCGTGCACAGGCGAGGGCAGCAGACCTCTCGCAAACAAATCCGCGCGAGATTCTCCTTCGCCCGTCACGGCTCTCGCACCCCTGAGAAGCTCAGGCGGGCAATCTTCGCGGCGGAGGGATTCCGTGCTGGGACAAGTGAGGCGCCGTGCCAGAGGGTGTTCGTTCTCCACATCTGGCACATCGATCCTGCACAGCTTTGCCTGCAGCGCATAGGCGTCCTCGACTCCAGCGGCCCCCACACTTCACGGACCAAAGCGCATTCTCGCGTCGCCTCGCCCGCAGCTCTGAGGTCTTCGAGAGCTCCGGAGCACGGGCCACCAGCGCAGCTCAGAAACCCAAGGGCGCCCCGACCTCCTCAGAGCTGCGGCCTCGGAAGCGGCGCATGCAGACTCGCGCACTGTTCGGCAGACTGCTCCAGGCGAATAAAGACTTGAGATCGATCCCGCGCTGGCGGTGATCGCGAAGCACGTCGTGTCGCACGGGCTGGCAGCCCGCGCGCGCGAGGCTCAATACTGCTGCCCAGGCTGAGTCCGCGCGCTGCGTCCATGGCCGTTGGGCCTCCAATATCTGGAGCGCCTCGGCGCGGATGGTGGCCGACACCTCCGTCTGGAGGAGGCCGTCGCGCACCCCCGGTGACCACGTCTTGGTGACCTCTACCGCGCGCGCCACGAACGGGGCCTTGCACCAGACGCGGTCGACGGTGCCGATCCCGAAGGCGAGGCGGGTCCCTGGCGCCAGTTTGCCTTCCGAGCGCAGGGCGCGGACGCGAAGTCCGTTGAGCTTACCGTCCGCGATGCCCGCGACGGCCGAGTCCCAGACTGCCGCGGCGCAGGGCGAGCCGCGGCGCGGGTGCCAGGTCCTGGCCCCCGCGGCCTGCAGCAGCTCGGCCCTGGCCGCCACTCTGCCAGCCTTCGCCAGCATCTCGTCCTGCTCGGGCACCCGTCGTCGGCCGCCGTCGTCGCCGTCGCCGCCGAGACACCGCGGCGCCGCGTGCCGCTGCGGGCCCAGGGCCTCCCAGGTCTCCTCCAGCTCCTCGGCCCAAACCCGCGTCGGTCGCGATCCAGCCCGTCTTGCCCCAGTTGAGCTCGAGGCGCCTTGCTTGCAGGCCGACGAACAGGTCGTGGGCGGATTGCGGAGGCTGGCGCCCGATTGGGCGCGCTGCGCCCACTGCTTGGAGAAGGCAGTCGTCCACGAGGCTCTGGGCGCGCACCGGGGCGTGGCGCATGACGACACTGCCCAGCAAGGTGCACGTCGGCAGCTTGCCGACCCCAGCAGCACGCGGGCACCCCGCCGCCGCAGCGCCGTTGGCCACCACTGCGGGCCCAACTCTTTTGCCCAGGAGGGCTCTACTGGGCAAGCGGCAGCTGGGGCGCAGCGCCCGCAGGAGCATCATCGGGAAGCTCGTCTCTACAGCTGGTTCGTACAGCTCGTGAGGTCGACGGCCATGGTGCCAGAGATCATCTTCGTCTCGTCGATCTTGCGCCCCCACGCTGCCACCACAGGCTGCCTCTGCGTTGACCATGCTCTCGTCCAGGGTCTGTCCAAGAGGATGGGTCTGACCCCCCGGGCGGGATCTTCGGCAGGAACGTCGCAAGCAGGAGCCAGAGCGGACCTCGGCACAGGTCCCTCTCCCAGCGATGTACGATATCCAGGAAGGGTTGGCGGCGCTGCGCGGGCGGCCACTTGGGCTGACGCGGGTGGGGCCTGTCCCAGCCCAAGCTTGTGGCCTCGCCGTCCAGGGCCAGCACGCTGCCCAGCTCGTCCGCGGCGATGGGCTGGAGGTCGCTCCAGTCTCCCGGGCAGCGCCACCAGCTCGGTCCGCGTGGACCCACCAGGCATCCCATTCTTGCGCGAGGATCTCCTGTGGCGGCGTCGCCCGCCACGGGGAGGCCCTCGCTGCTCGCGTCGCCGTCGTGCTCGATCAGCGTGGACGGCGCTCGGCTGCCATCCTTGATGAACTTGTAGGCCTGCTGCCCTCCAGTCCTGCGCGCTGCCTCCTGCGCCCACGTCCGCCATTCCGCAGTGCGCGCATTGCGGCCCCTGACCTGCAGGGCCTGGGCGCAGTCGCCGACGCCGACGAGAAGCGCGCGGTACACATGCGGCTCGAGCTCTCAGAGGCCGCGGCGACGCATTCTGGTCCCAGGCTGCTTAGCGCTCCTTCTCTGGGCCAGTCCTCGTCTGTGGAGTGAAACGAGCGCAGCGCCCGCGCCTGTCTGTCTAGCCGACAGTACCTCTTCCACCCTCGCTCTGTCTGGCGACTTCTGAAGGCGGCCCCCTTCTTGCATGCCGCCGGGAAGCCAGCCCACAGGCGGTGCTCCGTGTTCGTCGTGGACTTCAGCGTCGAGCCCCACTCCTGGACGAGCTGCGCCGTGCTCGCTTGTAGGCCATCTGCGCGCTTGACCTTGGTCTTGGATTGGAGTGCTTTTCGCGCTGGTGCAGCCTGTCGAGGTAGTCTTCCACCATGGTGGGCCAGAACTTGGATGCCTCCTCTACGTCACCTGGGCAGGCGCCCAGCCTCCACGGCCAACTGCTGCCATCGAGCTCTGGAGGTGCCACCTGGGCAGGCGGCGGCAATGCCACCGGGTGCTTGTTGGGGTAGGCCGCCTTGGTGCCGGCCGCCTTCCTGCGCAGCCCTCTCAGCTCGATGGCGGTCGGCGAGCGCGGGCTGATCGGTGCGCTGCTCAGGGCCTTGGCTGCGCCAACTCGGATGGCCAGCAGCTCGTCCACAATTCCGAGCTCGCACTCGCTCTTGCCAGAGGTGGGGGCCCGAGGCCCGAGCTCTGCCCCGCCTGCCTGCTTGGCCCGACTGGTGAGGAGCTCGGGCTCAACGCTCCAGTCGGCCATGACGATCCACGGCCACGCCAGGCTGCCCACCCAGTTCTGGAGGGCCTCTAGCAGGTCAATGTCGCCCCCCATCATGCCAATGTTGTCGACCAGGTATGCGGAGATCACCACGATGGGAATGCCCCGGCCCTGCGTTGATCTTGTCCGCTTGCGCTCGGTGCGGAGGCAAGCTGCTGCACCAGGTCGGTCTCGCTCGCCACCTTCAGAGCTGCCACAGCCGTAAGCACCGCAGCCCCGCCCCAGCTGTCGAGTGGCAAGGCTGGCGCTCCGAAGAACTCGAAGCCAGCCCTGCCTGCCCACTTCGCCGCGGAGCGCAGCCCTTCGCTGCGCTTGAGGCGGTGCTCCTGCAGGCGCACCACGTCGTAATCGGTCTGCTTGTCCTTTTGCTCAAATCCATGAACATCTGGACGCTGGCCCAGGTGTCGGCGTTGGCCGGGACAACCGCCAGCCGCTCGGGTTCAACCGCAGGGTTCCCCCTGGCCGCTCCCACTTCCTTCCTGACGAGCTGCTTGGTCTCGGCCCCCACGTCGCCCCCGCCGAGTGGTCCTTCACGACCTGGCGCTTCGTCGGTTGCCTCTCCGCTCGCCCTGGGCGAGGGAGCTGCGCAGGCAATTGCAGCGCCAGGGCCCCAGCAGCCCCCCAGCCTCCTGGTTGAACCGGCGGCCCCTGCTCTCCAGCCGGTTCGCGTGGGTGGTTGAGCTCCAGCCAGCTCTGCGCCGTCTTAGCAGGAGGGCTTGGCGCGGCTACCTCTGCTCTAACGTGAGCGTGGCAGGAGTTACCATGCCCAGGCAAGGCAGCCTTCTCCGAGGAGAGCCTCGAGGACGACCCTGGAGTCGCACACGCAGACCGCGAAACCAAGGGCGTCGGCCTTGCTGAGCGACTGCATGCATGCATGTCCTATCCACACTCCATAAAGGTCTGGCCGCTTGCCCCAGTGTGGGCGTTGGCTGAGACAACCTTGAGCTTCTCGGCCCTCCCTTGGGGCTCCCTCGAGTCGCTAGCGGCGTCCTCCGAGTCCACGGCCCCGCGGGACCCGCAGTCCGCTCTTGGGGCCTCCAGGCAGCCTCGGCGCTCCCAGTTGCTCCTGGGAGGTCCATATGAGTGCGGTCTTACGCACACCAAGCGAGACCTCGCCCTTTTGCGTACCATCTGCGCAACTGTCCGCCTTTGATGTGCTCCTGGGAGGTCCTGCGGTGTGCGGTCTTATGGAGACCAAAGTAGTCCCCCGCCTTCCGGGGCGCTGCCAGCTGAGCAGCCGTCTGAATTGTCGCGATCTCTTTGAAGGTCCAGCGGAGGACGGTCTTACGCAGATCAAGCGAGACCTCGCCCTCCCCTGGGCGCTGCCAATTGTGCAAGTGTCACTACTTTGCTGCGCCACTATGGTTCTAGAGGCCAGCGGTGCCACGTAGACCTAAAGCGGAATATCGCCCTCTCTGCATGGTACCAAATGCACAATTGTCGTAATTGTTGTAAGCTCCTTGGAGGTCCATCGGAGTGCAGTGCTACGCAGACCCAAGCGGGACCTCGGCTCGCTGCGTGTTGCTATCTGCGCAATTGTCCCCCCTTTCTCGTAAGGCCTTGCGGATTCCAGCGGAGCGTCATCTTGCGATTCCCTAAACTGTGCACTGTGCCGGAGAACGTTTCCTTGAGTGTTGCCAAGCGGTCGTCCTCCGGACCTGCAGGAAAATGATCCATGTGACCGGAAATCGTTTGCTTGATTTTGGCCCAGTGGTCGTCTTTCGGACCCATCAGATCATAATCCATCTGACCTGAACGTGTTTCCAAGATTTTGTCCCAGCGGTCGACTTTTCGGACCCGCAATGGCAACATCCACGTTGCCGCAAAACGTTTCTTCGATTTCGGCACATCGGTTGTTATTCGGGCGTGCAGCGAACAGGTTCCCCATGTAGTTTCCACCAAGACCACATGGCCTTCAATTGTTCATTCGTCTTGGATTGGCCCGTTGAGACTACCTCTCGGTGCAAACGGGTTTGGTACGTCCCTGGGTATGTTTTATCATCAATTTCCCTTCTTCGGTTCTTGATCGATTCTCCTTTGGAATACGAGGCATGGTTCTTGCTATTCTTCGCCTTCCCCTTCGGTCTCCCCTGCCCCTTCCCCCCCTTATCCTTCCAATTCCCCATCGAATTCTACGAAAACTATGCAGACGGCTCTGGAGACCTCCGAAGATCATCCAGGAGCCTTTTGAGAGCTTCCGAGGGCCGCCGAGAACAGCCAGAAATCTCAGAGAATCTCCGAAACCATCTCCCGAATGTTCGGAGGATCTCCAGAGGTCCCCGGAGGCGTCCGGGGTTCCCTGGATGCCTCCAGAATTGTGGAGGTCCCCCAAAGCGCCCGACATGCAGGAAGCATCGATCTCCCTCTCGGGGGCCTTCTCTCCGCCGCGACCAGGCCCCTCCATGGGCGAGATGATTGTGGGCAATGTCGTCGGCAACGTCGCAGGCAACATGATCAGCAACGCCATGTTGGGGGGAGCTAACCGCGGCCCGAGCAACACCGACCGCATGCTTGAGCAGCAGCAGCGCCAGGACCTCGAGCGGCGCCCCCTCCCTGAGGAGCTAGGTCCGCGAGGAGGCGGAGGAGGGGCAAGCGTGGTGCCCTCGCGACATATCTGACATCCTACTTCCTCCCATCCCTTCGAAGCTTCCCATTGCGCTGTCTTTTTCTGTACTCGCGAACGCGTGTCATAGCCGGCATGGAATTCCACAAGGACCCCATCGTGTTCTATGCAGTCGGAAATGGGAAACTTGTGGGACCTGTGCGACCCGGGGGACCTCTGAGGCGTGCGGGGCCTCTGAGACCTGCGACGCCTGTGGGACCTGTGGAACCTGTGGGACCTGGGGGACCTGTTGGAACTGTGGGACCTGTGAGATCTGCGAGACCTGTGGGGCCCGTGCCATCAGCGGGACCTGCGGGACCTGTGGAACCTGGGTGTGAGACCTGCGGGATCTGTCGGACCGATGGGACCTGTGGGGGCATGCGAGACTGCGACACCTGTGGGACCTGTGGGGCCTGTGGAACCTGTCAGACCGGTGGTACCCGTGGAACCTGCGGGACGACCTGCGACGCTTGTGGGTCTTGCGGGACTTGCGGGACTTGTGGGGATTGCGGGACCTGCGAGACTTGTGGGATCCAGAAAAGTAGCCCATGCCGGGGCGGGAATGGCATTCTGAAGGACGGGAGCACAGCGCCGATCCAAAAATAAGGCCCGCAGTGCAGAGAGAGCACCATTTTTGAACCTGTTCGACCTGCGAACCTGGAAAGGGATGTAAGATCGCGAGGTATGGTAACGTTCGGATGCAACTCCTGGGAGGTTAAATTCTGACTTTGCCCTGGTCCGAAAACAGGCTTAATCCGGCTTAATCCCGCTTAATCCGGCTTAATCCCGCTCAATCCCGCTTAATCCGGCTTAATCCTGCTTAGTCTGAGGCCCATTCCGGCGTAACAGTCCCCAAATGGGACTTAATCCTCTTTAATTTCTCCGACGAAAACCTCCCAGTAGTTGCCTCCTAAGTAACGTTCCCAAGCACCCCAAGTGGGCGATGGGCAGTGGCAGTGCTGAAGAGATCAATAGTGATGATACTGTGCTTAGGGCTGTGGTGTGCTGCTCTGCGCTGTGCCGCGCAGCACAGTGACGTGCCAGTGGATGCGCCACGGAACGTGCAAGCGGACGTGCCAGGGGACATGTCAGGGAACGCGCCGCACGATGTGTCAAGGGAACGTGCCACGGGACGCGCCACGGAACGTCCCTGGGGGACGCGCCATGGAACGTGGCGCGTCCCCTTGGCACGGGAGGATCAGGGTCCGCCCCTGGGGCGTTCGGAGCCCACGTGTTTTCACGCTTATTCCGCTCTGGGGCAAAAAGGGCCCCCGTGCTTTCACGTTTATCCCCCTCTGCGGCAAAAAGGACCCACGTGTTTTCACAATTGTCTTGCTTTGGAGCGAAAGGGGCCTACGTGTTGTCAGGTTTGTTCCGCTCTGGGGCTCACACTTGTTCCGCGCTGGGGCGAAAGGGGCCCACGTGTTTTCATTATCCTTCCGCTCGGGGGGGGCATGTGTTTTCACGCTTGTTCTGCCTTGGGGCGTTTGGGACCCATATGATTTCACGCTTGTCCAACCCTGGCGAGTTACGTAGGAAGCCATGTGTTTTCATGCTTTCCCCGCCCTGGGGCGTTGGGAATCCCTGTGCTTTCTCACGCTTGTCCTGCCTTGGGGCGCTACGTAGGAACCGATGTGCTTTCCAGGTTGTCCCGCCCTGGGGCGAAAGGGGCCCACGTGTTTTCACACTTGTTTCGCTCTGTGGCGAGAGGGGCCCACGTGTTTTCACGCTTCTTCCGCTCTAGGGCGAAAGGGACTCATGTGTTTTCACGTTTGTCCGCCGTGAGGCGTTGGCAACCCATGCGTTTTCAGGTTTGGCCGGCCCTGGGACGTTGAAAGCCCATGCGTGTTCGCGCTTGTCCAGCCCTGGGGCGAAAAAGGGTTCACGTGTTCTCATGCTTGGCCCGCCTTGGGGCGAAAGGAACCCAGTATTTTCACGCTTGTCCCGCCCTGGGGCGTTAGGAACCCATCTGTGTTCATGTTTTGTCCCGCCCTGGGACGTTAGGAGCCCAAGTGTTTCCACGCTTGTCCCGCTCTGGGGCGTTTGGGACCCATGTGTTTTCACGATTGTCCCGCCTTGGGGCGTTAGGAACCCGTGTGTGTGTTCACGGGTGTCCCGCCTAGGGGCGACATGGACCCCTGAGTGTTCACGTTTATGCCGGTTTGGGGCGATTGGGGCCCACGTGTTTTCACGTCTCTTCGGCTCTGGGGCGAAAGGGGCCCACGTGTTTTCACGTTTCTTCCGCCCAGGGGCGTCTCTTGGGCCGTCTCGGGCCGTCGGAAGGCCGAACAAAAAGGAAATGTCAAAATCCGTTAAAAACTTTAGGCAAATCAATGTTTTTGGCCTCTTCTGGCCTTATTTGAGGCCCTCTTGGGGGCCTCTTGGGCCGTCTTGGGCCAGCTTCGAGGCAACTTCGGCCATCTTGTTGGGTTCCTGGCACGTCTGACGCCGTCGGGAACCGTCTTGGGGGCTTCTCTGTGCCAACGGGGGACCCTCTTGGGGCGCTTCGGGGCCGTCTTGGAGGCCATCTTGGGCGTCTTGGAGGCCATCTTGGGCGTGTTCGAGGCCTCTTGGGCCGTCTTGGGGCCATCTTGGAGGCCATTTGGGCCGTCATGGGGCCCTCTTGGGGGCCTCTTGGGCGATCTTGGGGGCCTCTTGGGCCGTCTTGAGCCGTCGCCAAGCCGAGAAGAAGCAAATTCTAAAATATTTCAAAAACCTACGGAACATCAATGATTTTGGCCTCTTCGGGCCCTCCTGGAGGACCTCTTGGAGGCCTCTTGGGCAGTCTTGGAGGCTTCTTGGGCGAACTTGGAGGTATGTTGGACCCTCTTGGGCCGTCTCGGAGGCCGTCTTGGACCATCTTGGGTGGACTTGGAGACCATCTTGGACCATATTGGAGGCCATCTTGGGCCAACGTGACCATCTTGGAGGCCATGTTGAGCCGTCTTGGAGGAAGAATTGGGATTGGGCGATGGCGCGTGCGTCTTACGGATCTTGGGGGGCGGCCGGCGGGACGGGCCGAAGCGCCAGGGGGAGTTCTTTTGGAAAAAGAACCAACACCAAAACCGAAATCGTTTAGCACGCGAGGCACCCCTGCGATGAATCGACAGGGGGCGGCGGATCTAGTGGCATTCGGCCTATCCCGCCACCGTGCCTGGGTGGTGGGTCAGAGGCCTCATGGATGTTGGTTGGGATCTCGTGGTCGGCCTCGTCGGGGCCTCTGGGAGGCAATTTTGAGGCCCCCCAGGGCCTCTTGGGCAGTTGCGGGGCTTCTTGGAGCCACTTCGGGGCCTCTTGGGGGTCTCGTTGGGGCCTCTCGGAGCTTTTTGGGAGCCTCTTGGGAGCTTCTCGGGGCCTCCGGGGCTTCTCGAGAGCTTCTTGGGGCGGGGGGGGGGCACTCGAGTTCGGGGCCCTCTCGGAGGCCGCAATCCTCGTGAGCGGCGTCAAAAAATGCCCTCCCCAGAGACGCGCGGGTAGCCGCGACTAGCCCTAGAAGCCCCCCCGAGAAACGCAGCGCAACTCGCCCCCCCCTTCCCCTCCTCCCCCGGCAGAGCCCCCCCGCCCCCCCCCCAGCAGAGCTGAATCTCAGGCTGTTGGCCGTAGGCTGTAGCTGAAGCTTTTTCAAATTCACGCGCCGGATCGGTATGTATGTGTGTATATATATACACATATACATACACATGTAGATATGTATAGATATTGCGCTCGCGCTCGTGCGAATTCTTAGGGAAGTTCAACGGTTTATCAATTCTTCATAAAATGCTACCAAACAGGATTCGCGCGCGCACGTCGGAATCATTCGAGCGCCCCCCCTCGCGCGCCGTCGCAAGAATCCGTTCGAACCCACAAAACCAAATGCACCCTCGCGCGTCGTCGCGCGCGCTTGCCAGAATCAGTCAAAAACCATATTAGGTTTCGTAAGGATTTTAAAACCGACTGCCCCGAAACCATATAAAACCAACTTATTTGGCAACGTCATTTTCGAATGAAGTTTGCGCTCGCGCTTGCGCGAACTCTTTAGGAAGCCATAAGGTCTTCAATAGTTACATGCAATTCTGCCGAATGGGCCTCTCGCGACGCATGCCGAAATCATTCAGACGCCCTTGCCCGCGTGTGCTGAAGGGCAAGGGCGCTCCTCGTCAAATAATGTCAACCGGGCCACTCTAGCGCGTCGGTCGCGCGCGCGTCGAATTCCTTCCCGCGCCTTCATCGCCGACGCGAGGACGCCGCCATCGTCGTCGGCGCGATCGGCGCCGTCACTGGCCGCGCCGTCGTCGTTGTGAGCATCGCCGCCAGCATCGCCAATCTCATCGTCGCGTCTACCTGCGTCGACGTTGCCATGATACCGCGCCCGCCCAAGTCGCCGACTCGCACTGGAGTGGCCGCTGGGATGTGCCCAGCGGTCAGCGCCACCGCAGCCGCGTCGGTCGCGCCAAACTAGTTGGCCGCCGCGCGCGCATGGGTTGGCGCGGCGGCACACATGCACCAGCCAACGCCGAGCAGACATCGCAATCGCCGCCGCATGGATTTTGCAAGCCAATTCGCGGGCTGGTGGGTGGGATGTTTGCAAGATCACGGAGAGCGTCAACTCGTCTGAAAAAATGAATTGCGCCGCGTAGATTGTATTACATGGGTTGCATCGCATGCATTGTCCTTTTCCAGCGAGAATTCGGATCGACCCCCCCTCACCGTCGGGGTTAACAGTTGAAGAGCTCATTCGATTCTGCCTCATCGCCTTTCCTACATGTGATATCGTACCATCCCAGCCCAACCAGCATCGACACCCGCCGCCATCCTTTCCAAACCAAATACCACGCGCGCGCATTTGTTTATAAAACATCATTAGTTCGTTTTGAAAACCCCTTCGCAACAAATCACGAATTGCACACAGGCGCGTCGTCGCGCGCGCATGCCGGGATTTCCCAACGCCTTTTTCGTTTTCGCGCGGATTTTAAAGCCGAGTGTTTCGACATATGTTAAAAGCACTGGTTTCGCAACGCGCTATATATATATAGTTTAAAAAAAAAAAAAAAAAAAAAAAAAAATGCGTGCTTGCTCTTGCTCACGAAAGCCATGGTGTTGTCAACCGTTGCATTGAATTCAGCCACACGGGCCTCTCGCACCGCGCGCGTAAATCATTCGAGCGCCCTTGCCCGCGTGGTGGGGGGTGGGGGGGGGCACGATCTGTATCAAATAACCGCATGCGGGCCACTTGCGCGTGTCGGCTGCGCGCGCGTGTCGAACTCCTTCCCGCACCGTCATCGCCGACGCGAGGTGCGGGGGTGCCGTCGTCGTCGTCGGCGCGATCAGCATCGGCGCAGTCACTGGCCGCGCCGTCGTCGTTGTCAACATCGCCGCCAGCACCGCTACGATCATCGTTGCGTCTACTGCTGTAGACGTTGCCGCGATACCGCGCCCGCCCAATCGCCGACGGGGATGTGTCCAGCGGTCAGCGCCACCGCGGCTGCGTTGGTCGCGCCAGACTAGCTGGCGCCGCGTGCAGGTGCACGCGCGGATTGGCGCGGCCGCAGAGGTGCACCAGCCGACGCCAAGCACTCATGGCAATCGCCGCCGCTTGCGATTTGCAAGACCAGTTGCGGGCGGGCGGGCGGGGTGATTTCGCGAACCGTGGAGTTGGCAACTGCGAGTTCCACGAATGAATTGCCCGTTCAACAATGAATCAGGTCCCCTCTCCCCCCGGATTATCAGCACACCTCTTCGCATTGCAATGTACGTATGTTTCTGCCCGATCGTCCATCCTGAAAATGAATTCATGCCACCCCATCCAGGCCGGCATCGCCCTCCTTTGTCATCCTCTGCAACATTATCTACTCGCGCACATTCGCATATCAAACTTCACCTGTGCCCCACAATCCCTTGCACACAATGCGACGAGGTGCGCGCTCGCATCGTCGCGCGCGAATGCCGACATCTTTCGACTCCATTGGTTCCGTGGGGATTCCCAAATCGAGCGTCCGAAACACAAATAAGGCACATGGTCTTGCAGCGCGGATATTCAAGAACAGCTCGCGCGCTCGCTCTTGCGATGTCTTAAGAGAACCATAGTTCGCACACATCTTCATGACGTGCTACCAACAGGGCGTCGCGCGCGCGTCGCATTTTTTCGAGCGTCAATGCGCGTGCGTCGTCGCGAGAATCTTTTTGCAACAACATACGACGAAGTGCACGTGCGCGCGTCGTTTCGCGCGGATGTCAAGACCGAGTGTTCATAAATCATGTTTACACATTTGGTTTCTCAAGATCGGTTTTCAAAACAGCTCGCGTTCGCGCTTTTGCGAACTCTTGAGAAAGCCATGTCTGTCAACATGTTCATGGAATTATGCCGAACGGGCCTCTCGCGCCGCGCGCCGAAATCATGCGAGCCCCCACGCGCGCGCGTCTGGGGGCGGGGGCGCGAAAAACGTCGAATGACGCCGCGCGGCTACTCGCGCGTCGCGCACGCGCGTGCTTGTGTTGGCGTGCTTGTGTTGGCGCGGAGATGCACCAGCCAACGCCATGCCATCGCGATCGCCGCCGCGTGGGTTTTGCAAACAAGTTGCGGGTGGGTGGGCGGGACGTTTGCAAGGGCATGGAATGTGTCAATTCGCTTGCAAAACTAATTGCACCGCGTAGACTGTAAGCACCTAGCCGGGCCAACGCTGGCTAATATTTTCGATGTTGTGGGTTTCTTGAGATTTCTCGATATGTCTTGGGATATTTGGGATGGGTCTCTGCCGAATGTTTGGCTTCCTTGGTATCTCTGGTGGTTTCTTAAGGCCCTGTCCGCGGCCGCGCTGGCGCGGGCTCCACGCCGGGCCCCCGTTGTTAGAGCAGCGCCGAGCAGACCTCGCTCTCCGACTCAGGCTCGGGGCGGAGCGCAAGGGCCCGCGCCCTCAGACGCTCAGCTCAGCACCCGCGCGCGTCGAGTCTGCATAGGGCCCGCCAGGCATTCTGGGGGGGCCGGCACCCCGCGGCCCACCTTGCAAGTCAGCGCGCCGTGGCAGTCGGCTGCGCCCAGTGCCGCGGCGGCGCGCGGCGTCGCTCAGCCAGACGCCCTCGGGGTTGAGGTAATTGGGCCAGGAGGAGCAGTCGCCGCAACGAGGGCGCCCATGCGCCGAAGAAGCACGAGGACTATCAGAAGCTGGCGCCCTCGGGAGCAGAGCGCCCGAGAACGCCGGACCCAGACGGCCGCAGCGTGAGTCAGCGCGCGTGGGAGGGCGCAATGCAGGAACGGCGGCGTCAGATCACGCCCGCGCTGAGCGACGAGGCCAGCTCCCTGCGAACTCAGCTCAGTTCATATTTGTGTTTCTTCTCAGCGGGTAGCCCATGAAGTTCAACAATTTGTCCTGAGCGTTCCCGCGCTGATTCCAAAGCGCGTTCAATGAATTCAACTTGATCAGATTGTTGCCGGTGCGCCGCAGGATTAGTGCCATTTCATTTCCATCAGTGCCACCCCTACAAGTTACAGGTGTCAGTCGCGGGGGGGGGGGGCGGGGAATCATTATTTATTCTTGCGGTGGATGTAGATGTCGGTCGGGGGGGGAACGCATAGGTATCTCTGCGCGTTGGTGCGGCGCCAACGATATCGCTCGGCTAAAGCCGCCCTCGCGAGTTATCTATTTTCGCTTCGGTGCTAACGATAACTCAGGGGGGTTCTCAATGGTTTCCTTGGGTTAGGGGTCAAACCGAAGATCGGGATCAGCCTGAGCAGGACCAGGAGTCAACCATAAAATGCCTTCGTGGGTGTTCCGATCTGGGGGGCCTCTTGGCAGCTTGCATGGGCCATACTCGGGCCCTGAAGGCTTGTGGCGCTCTCTTGAGGACCTCTCGGGGGGTTCCGGGGACCCTCCGAGGGGCCTCGGGCGCGCTCGCGGGGCAATCTCGGAGGCCATTGATCAAAGAAGGGGTTTCGACATCGGCCCCCGTCGGAAGCCGAATCGTCGAATACTGGGGCCCGCGTGGGACGCGGTTGAGGCGCTCTTGGGCGCCCTCGGCCATTTCTTGGGGCCCTACTCGGCGATATTAGAGCAATCCCGAGGCCTCGAAAACCGCAACACTCATTGAGTGCTGTCGGTTTGGGAAGGATGTTGGCATCCTGGGAGCGTTTTCGGGGGGCTTTTGGGGTACCGTATTTGGGCATGTTGGAATCCATCTGGAACCATCTCAGGATTTCTGGAACCATACTGGAGGCCATTGTTGTTGTTGCTGTTTTTTTTGGGCCGCTTTGAGGCCTATGTTGAACGCTCCAACGCATCGTGTCCCTTGCTTCCAGACCCAGGGGGAGGGGAGTAACGAGATTGGAACAACGAACTCGTTACGCCCAACCACCTACGCCAAGGCGGCCGGTGGGATTTCGAACGAAATCCAGCCGTGGCGACGTGAAGCCTCCCAGAAGTGTCCCACAGAAAAGTCCAAACAGCTCCTCTGCCCCCGTCCCCCCCCCCGCCCTCCCGTGAGCGCTCGCGGGGTCAGCAGAGGGGGCCCACCCGCCCAGGACGAGCGCCAGCTGGACAAGCAGTCGATGGAGCTCGAGAACCTTCGGAGGGAGGTGCAGGACGGCATGGGGGGCGCGGCAGGAAGGGAGGAGGTGGAGGAGGAGGAGGAGGAGGAGGAGGAGGGTCAGCCTCATCAACATACATCTCTAGAAACAGCTCGGCTTGATCAACTTCCCCCAGGCGCGCTCATCCGACACGGTCTTGAGTAGCACCCTCCAGGCTTCGCCATGTGCCTTGCTTGCCATATCAATTTGATTGTCCAACTCGTGGACTCGAGCACGAGTACGACCCTCATCATGCCCCGCTCATGCTTCATTCCTGTGCTCTCCAGGCTTGGCCTCCACCTTCAAATCGTCGTCATCGTTGACGGTGGCTGACTTGAGTTATTTCTCGAGCTTGAGGATGGTGGCCTGAGCCTTCCGCGGCTCTGCAGCTTCAGCCCATGGTAGGTCGCCGTCTGAGTAAACAGCCTTCTTATTGCCCGAGTTGGCACTGGGCTGATCAGGCTTCTAGTAGGAGTGAACGCATCTTCCTTTGGGCCTCCGACACTTGAAGCAGTGAACCCTTTCAGGCCTGTTAATGAATTCATCACCCGTTCGATCATGCATGCAGGACCTGCATACTCACGTCTGATTGCCGGCATCCTTGCCAGAAGCAGACACCATGATCCCAGGAGGTTCACCAGAGTCGTTGCCGTATTACTGCGTTGAGTGCCAAGAATTGGCTCGCCGTCACCCAGTCGCTTAGAAGAGTCGGCGACAGTAAGCTCAAAGCCAACCCATGAGTCAGAACGGCTAGGAGGGCGCGAAGGAAGAGGAGAATGAGGAGGAAGAGGATGATTGGAGCATCGCAAAAAAGTCCCAGCTCTGGTTGTTTCCGCCGCCGCCTTGGACATCGCCGCCGCTGCTGACGCCTCCTCAGCTCCCCAGTCGCAGTCTGCTCCGAGGACATGAAGATCGCCAACGCGGCGAAGAGCTGAAAAGCGACCACCCCCGCGCTCCTCGTGCTTGCCGCAGGCGACTTCGGTGGGGGGAGTTCGTATGCTCCCCCCGCTCAGATGCACGCGCCTCCTGCACTCCCTTGTATGCGTTTTCGCCGCCACCCGGGCGCCTCGCCCCAGCAGGCTGGCCATTTGGATTTTGTGTGTCGAAGACGCCTACGGCGAATCACCGCCGCCCCTTGCCGTTTGTGATTGCCCATGCGGCCGAGCGTTGTGGCCAGAGCTTAGCCAATCCATCGGAGTATGTGTTCTCCCAGCCGTTGTCGAAGCTCTTCGGGGAACACGCGGGGGAGTAAACAAAACGGAGAGGGGGGACACATGGAGAGAAGGAGCTTCTTAGGGGCCTCTTGGAGGCCTCTTGGGGGCCTCCTTGGGCCTCTTGCGGGCCTTTGGGGGTTTCTTAGGGGGCCTTTTAGGCCGTCTTAGGGCGTTCCTGGCCCGTGTGACGCCGTCGGAAGCCGTCTCGGGGGCATCTCTGAACCGATTTGGGGCCCTTTTGGTGTGCTCCAGGGTCGTCTTAGAGGCCATCTTGGGCGTCTTGGATGCCTTCTGGGCCGTCTTGGGGCCCTCTTAGGACCGTCTTGGGCCCCCTTGGACCGTTCTGGGACCATCTTGGAAGCCTCTTGGGCGATGTTGTGGCGATCTTGGGCGGCTCTTGGGCCGCCTCGGGCTGTCGGAATGCCGAAAGAAGGAGTTGCCAGAATCTTTTAAAACTGGCATAAGGAAGATCAATGATTTTGGCCTCTTCGGGCCATCCTGGAGGCGCTCTTTTGGAGACCTCTTGGGCAGTCTTAGAGGCCTCTTGGGAGCCTCCCGGCTCGTCTTGGGCCGTCTTGGAGCCATATCGGGCCGCTTTGGCGGTTTCTTGAGCAGAATGCGAAGCCTTTTGTACCGTCTTGGAGCCCATCTTGGACCTTCTTGGGCGAATTTAGAGGCCATCTTGGCCGTCTTGGAGCCATGTTGGGCGGGACAACCCTTGCATCAAGTATCCTGGCAAGTTTTCTGGGTAAGCCCCAGAGGGGAATGTGTTTTAAACCACAAAGAACACCTAAACCTCAGCACGCCAGGCACCCCTGGAATAAATCAACGGGGCGACAGATGTGTGGCCTTCGGCCGAACCCGTCTCCGTGCCTGGGCTCGTGCATGGATCAGAGGCCTCTCCACTGTATTTGTGGGTCTCTTGGGAAGTCTCTGGGAGGTGTCTCGGAGGCATGATTGGGGCTTCTTGGAGCTATCCTGGAAGCCTGGCGGGAGCCTCTTCGGAGCATCCTGCGGTCCACTGGGTGCTCTTCAGGGGGTTCTTGCTTGGATTCGGGGCAGATGGTCGTTCACTAATTCAAGACACGTGTGTATCACTGAGGTCGGTTCGGTACGAATGTCTGATAGCATGATCCAAGTGTTACCGCGTTGGGCATATCGGTCGCCTTACTCCCTAGGTGTCCCAAGCAGTGTCTCATGGGTCATATCGGTCGCTACAGTGTGGGCATGACCCATGTTGTGGGGCCCCAGGCAGATGGTTGGCAACGACCCGATGCAATTGTGTACAAGTTCGGTACGATCGGTTCGAATGGCTTTGGGTATGGCCCAAGTGGTACAACATGTGGAACGTCTGTCGATCTATTTTCGATGTGGCCCGAGTGGTAACACTTGGGTAAAATCGGACGCTGCCAGTTCGGCATGATTGAAGCATCGGAGAACATCGAAGTACTGAAGGGGGCGCCTGGCCGCGGCCGAGACCATGGGCGACCGATATGACCCACGTGGTCCTGGGGTCTCCTGGGCGGCCGCTTACGGAACTCGAGGCATCGCGGCAGTTTCATGGGGAGCTTGTTGGAGACATCTTGGGGGCTTATCGGATGTTTATTGGGGGCGTGTCGGGGACCTCTCGGGGTCATCTTGGAGGCCTCTCGGGGCCTCGTTGGGGCGCATCGGCGGCCTCTGGGGAGCTCTCGTGACCATCTTGGGGTGAAGGGCTCGTACCGTCGCTTTCCCCCTCTCTGACCTCTCTTGGAGCCTTCTTGGGGCCCTCCTGGGCTCGTCTTGAGGGCCCCTTCGGGCAGTCTTACAGCCCCTCTTGGGCCGTCCTGGGGCCCTCTTTGCTGGCCGTGTTGGGGCGATCTTGGAAGCCTCCTGGGGCATCCTAGAGCATCGGACGCCAGCCTCTTGGGACCTCTTTGGGGTCCTTTTGAGATTCTCTTGAGACGTGTTGGAGGCCTCTTGGGTCATTTTGATGCCACGTTGGGCCATCCTGGAGCGCTCTTGGACCGTCTCGGGGCCCTCTTTGCACCGTCTTAGCGACACGGCCTCCGGCTGCACGTAAAAGCACGCGACACATCCCAGGCAATCCGTGAGTTCGGGGTCTGGGCCCCTGGACACTCAATGCGTCAGGACTCAGGGCTGGGGACTCAACGGACCTGATGACACTCCAACTCGTGCCTCGAGGCATGGTGGCGGATAATCAACCAGGAGGCAGTGCAGAGCATGGTTTGCTCGTGCCCCTACGTGGGAACTGAATGGATTTCTTCTGAGGCCGCCTGCGTAAGGTGGCCTTCATCCAACTGCCTGCGGCAAACCCCGCCACTGTGGCAGCGTAGCAGTGCAGCAGGGAGAGGGATATGAGATTGAGTCTACGACCTTGTCAGAATTGGTTGGGGCTTATGCATCCTCCAACTTCCTTTGTCCCCTTCCCCCCTCCCCCCCCATGAAGGCATCTTGTAGGCTTATGGGGGGCTTCGTGTAGCCCTCTTTGGGCCTCTGTGGGAACTATTCGGGGCCTGTCTGGCGCCGTGGAGCAGTCTTGGGTGGGATGGCTCTATCGATGTCTTCCGAAGAAGTTTGGTCGAACCATCTTGAGGACGCCAGTGCGGGTCTTGGCGCCGTTTTGGAGTTTTCTTGGGCGGGCTCGGGCTGTCTTTTGGGGATCTCGGGCACTCTTGGTGCTGTCTTGGGCAAATGTGGGGGCTTCTTGGGGCTCTCTGAAGGTACCCAGAGGTGATCGAAAGCTGGAAAGCCTCGGAGGCACATACATGTGTGTTGTCTCGGAGGGGGGGGCGGATTAGGGCTTTGCAGGAGATCTCTTTGGGTATCTCTTCGTGGACTCTCGGAGCCTCATGGTGCCTCTTGGGAGCACCTTAGAGCCATTATGAGGTCGCTGGGTCGTGTTGGACTGGTCTTCGGATATTGTCATGGTCGTACGGCCTGTCCCGCCGACCCTGAAGGACGACGACGACGACGACGACGACGAAGACGACAAACGATGCATGGGGCGGGGGATGGGCAGGAGAAGGAGGAGGAGGGGAAGGAGGAGAAGAAGGAGGAGGAGCAGGAGGAGGAGGAGGGGGAGGGGGGGCCGGAGGAGGAGAAGGAGGAGGAGGTGGAG